TGCTAGGTAACAGGGGCACTTAGGGTGAAAGAAACTTTGCCCATTTGTTTCTGCCTTGTGCGGGAATCGAACCCGCGCCACAGAATTACGAGTCCTGCGCGCTATCCACCAGGCTACGAGACCCCAACCTCAACCAACTGTGGTCTTTCCTCTCCGCTACAGTTGCCACCATGGTGCACAAGTGTTTAATACACCATAATGCTAATATAAAAATCGTGAGGCAATTGGAAGTTTGTGTAAAAAAAATAGTTAGTGCATTGAGTATATTATTTAAATGGATGTTAGTTTACTGGATGCAGCTTTGACTGTACTGTATATGTGTGTGTGGGGCTCTTGTTGTCATTGACAGATGAGAACAAGTAGAGACAACTGGCTACGATGCAGTAAAATACCGAGTTAATGGAATTTGTATTAGTTAAAAATATTATAAAATCTGGTGGATAAAGTAGGACGGCAATGACACTTTATTATAATAAAAATTGATACCGTGTAAGAGTTATTGCTTATATTTATTGTCCAAGTAAATAATGTGAATACATTATTGTCAGTACATTATATTGCAAGAGTTCTTTAAGACAGTGAAGAGAAATTTGACCATTTGAGGAATAAAGTTTCCTTCTATCACCAAGTGATAACTTCATTTACACATCAAATTTTTTACCCTTATTTATAATGGTAATTATATTTATTGTGTAATGCATTAAATAAATATTTTGCTACAAAAGCATTTTAGTCGTATACCTAATGTATGCAGATTATCAGTTGCTTGCAAGTAGACCCAAGGGGTAACACAGGGCCAAATGGAGCCAGGAACATTAACAAGCTAACACTCCACCCGGACCCATTTAGACCTCCAAAACCCCAAGTGAAAGCCCATGACACGTTCCTGAACACTGTACCAGCCACAGCTGCGAACATCATGGGCCCAAGGGTAGACCGCAAGCTGGCTAGATTTAATGAAAGTGTGTACAATCTGGGATAAACTTTGGAACAGAACCGAGGAAACTTGATCGACAGAATGTCCACTGAAGCAGAGCGGGTGGCATGTAGGTAGAAATGAACCAGAACAACAGTACAACAAATAATGCACCTCTGGCCGTACAAGCCAAGCATCAATCACTAAGGGGCCCTTTCAAAAGGCAACCAACTCATTTTCTGCCAGGGGGAAAAAAAAAGGCGAATGCTGCGAAGGAAGTAGCTGTCCACTAGAGGCTTGAAAAAACTTTGCAAAATGGCACTGAGGAGACATGAACGCTGAGCTCCCAACAAGAGCACTTCTGCTGAAGTCGACCAATAAAAGGCACAGCTAAGACAAAAAAAAAATCAGAACCATCCGTACATACAGAAGAAACAGTGAGAAGAGGCAGGCAAAAGGAGCTGCAGGAAACTTCATACTGTTGTACCGACAAAAGATGCAGATGGGACATCAACAATTCAGCACACCATATAAATGGTACAATAGTAAATCTGCATAAGAAATGCCAGCTACAAAGATCAGCAGAGAAGGTCAAACCAGCAAAATATTTCACCGGGCTGATCTGCAGCAAGATAAAAAAAGAAACCAAGGCAGAACTGGTCACTAAGAAGCCAGATGAATCACCTTGCCCAAGCACATCAACACCACCACTCAGAGCAGCAAGTGAACCAGGGGAAAGAGATAGAGGAACATTCATCTCAACCAGTCCCCTTGAAATGAATCCACAGTGAGAGCCACACAAGGAATAGTTACATGGTATGAAAGGACGAATTGACGGTCCATGTAATAGAAATGAGACGAGATAAACCATATGTGAGAAGGGTGGACACCCCACACATGAACTGTGCAGAGAACCAGACCCTGAAAAGCCAGAAGTCTAGCTACATGAAGAGTTCAACTCCAAAGGGAAACATGAACCATATTGAACCACTGGGGAGCAGTCAGAATGGAGCCCAGTATCCTTCAACAGGCCTGTATCAGTTTTTGTGCACCTGAAGAGTGAACCCAACCATCAGCTGTGGGAGGCCTGGTGAGCACTGAGCACAAACCCCAACCATGAGCTGAGGTGCCTGTGAATATATCAAACAATGGGGGAAGGTAGGCACTATGGAATCTGAGCCCGAAGAGGAAGCCTGAGGGATACTGAGCCGACAAGGGGCAAGCAAGTCCCTAATGTGACCGCCGTCATTGGTGAAACGGGTGGAAACGAAGGAACCAGCACAACACTTGGAGCTGAACCTAGCCCAGGGAAAACACCCCACAGACAAAGCTCGGGCTCCAGCACAACCTCTTGACTAACTGCTGAGCCACCTGGGCCCAGCCCAACACTAGACTGCAACTTCGCTGCAGGCGGCGCAGAGAGAGAAGCCGATCACAAACCCCCAAACCAAACCCCTGGTCTTGAAAGTGCACAGAGTGACATGGAGCCCAAACCAGTCAATCAACAAAAAGTTACCAAAGCACAAACCCACCAAGAAGCCCCAACCAGGCCTTGAACCGGTGGGGAAGGGGAAATGCACCAGGATGTATCTGGAAGATGTAGGAACACCATCTACTGCAAATCTGCCTGCAAAATCAGGCAGAATCAAGCAAAGCTGTCACGTGGAAGGTCTGTCAGTTAATGTGACACGCACACACGCACACAAAATATGCGAACAAGCTTGAATGGTCCCCAAGCCAATATGCAACTGAAAACTCCACTCCCCAGAAGGATTCGAACCCAGCCAGCCAGGAGCACTATGCATCATGGCGTACCTGGGGCCAGATTCACGAAGCAGTTACGCAAGTACTTACGAACGTGTACATCTTTCCTCAATCTTTGATGGCTTTGGTTACATTTATTAAACACTTTACAAGCATGAAGACTTCCCAATCAACTGTTGTTATTGTTATAAACAGCTTCCTGGTGCTTCGGAGCTCATTAACTGTTTAATAATTATAAATAAAGCCGTCAAAGATTGAGGAAAGATGTTCACATTCGTAAGTACTTGCGTAACTGTTTCGTGAATCTGGCGCCTGGTTCTTTAACCACTCGACCACCGTGAATATATAAAAGTCATTGGTAGCCGAGGTTATATCCTCAACGACCCGACAGCACTTGGTGGTAGACCTCACTGGCACCACCTGGCGAGCACACCATAAAATCTTGTTCCGTTTCTATACAACCAACATTCGCAGCCAACTAGACTATTGTTGCCAAGCATATGCGTCGGCTGCGCCTACTAACCTACAGAGCCTCGAGGTCATACAAAACAATGCCATGCGACTTATATGTGGCGCAATGCGTTCAACTCCAATTCTCGGACTCTACGGGGAAACGGGCCTCACAAGCCTAGCCGCCAGACGAGACAATGTGTGCCAACTATCTGTACCACTGCTCACCAGACACACAAATACAGATCAAACATTAACCCAACAGTTAACCCACATAACCCCCGCTTCCCAACCACTCGCAACCTTTCCTCACACGGGCTACAAATAACCTCAATATAGACCTCACTTTACTCCAAAACTCGGAAACCCAACTTACTGTTCCCCCTATTCCACCCTGGCTTTATACAACTCCTAATACAGCAATACAACTGGAAAACAACATTCCAAAGTCTGCACCAAACTCAGCCATAGCCTCAGTCTTTGTCTCAACAATGACAAATTGCTACCCAAATACCACAGCGATTTATACAGATGGATCTCTCATCATGAACAACGTACCCTCGGTCACTAGCGCTGTATGGATACCGGAATACCATCTCAAGCAGGGATAGCGGTTACCAAACCAACTATCTGTGTTCACAGCTGAATTATATGCCTTATATCAAGCTCTCCAAATAATCACAACATTACCAGTCGGGACATATACAATCTGCAGTGACTCCAAGAGTGCGATTCAAGCCATTACGTACTCTTCAACAACGTGCAAGGAGTTTGTTTACCCATGTCTTCAACTTCTTCATGAACATCGATTGAACGGTTATGATACCTCTATCCAATGGGTCCCAGCGCATTGTGGTATTCTCCATAATGAACTTGTAGACCAACTAGCCAAAGCAATGCACAACACACCTCACATTACCCGTCATCCAATACCTCATGTTGCACGTAAAGGAGCCTTCAAAGATACCATCACCCAAGATTTTGTAATGAAACGGAAAACGTTATGCTCGTGTCTATACTATAGTATAAAACCAGAGGAATTGATATAACAATGACCAGATTAAGGCTGGGACACACCACACTGGCAGCACACAGCTCTAAATACAAGACAGACATCTACGAACTCTGCATCCACAGCATTCGAACACTTCCTCCTTCACTGTTGTCGACATCATAGTGCCAGCGTAAACTTCAAACAAGTTCTTATCGTACATAAAATACCTTTTAACACAGCATATATTAGGAGGAGGCGACTCTCTCTCTCTACACGTAAAATACCAAATAGTCAAAGCACTGGCTTGTATAATTATTTGAAATTTCTAGTGTTTGCCTCCCTTTTTGTGCATTTTCTGTTCTAACACATCTTGGCCAGTCCAGGGACCAGATTCACGAAGCAGTTACGCAAGTACTTACGAAACCTGTACATCTTTTCTCAATCTTTGGCGGCTTTGTTTACAATTATTAAACAATTAATGAGCTCCGAAACACCAGGAGGCTGTTTATAAGAATAACAACAGTTGACTGGGAAGTTTTCATGCTTGTAAACTGTTTAATAAATGTAACCAAAGCCGTCAAAGATTGAGGAAAGATGTACACGTTCGTAAGTACTTGCATAACTGCTTCGTGAATCTGGCCCCTAGTAGCCCATCAGTACTTTACACTGAGAACATATACTTGAGGCCTAAGATTGATTTGTTGCCGCCGAAGGCGGCTAGTTTATTGTGCACCCCATACTCATCCTGTGAGCGGTAGCGCAAAAGCATTACAGAGGGCACAATAGGTCTTTATCAGACCTCATCTTAGATTATTACATAAACAATTTCTTCAATCCTTCACACCTTATAGATACAATGTCAGCTAGTTACAGAGAAAGTGCTATTACAAGAGCTACATATTTACAGTAAGTCATCATACATTAATGGTAGGTTTTATCGTTAATACATAATAGTTTGGCCAATGGGGATATTACAGAGTCATAGGGGAGCTTCTGTTTATTCCTGGTCCACATATCAAACTTTGCTTCCTGAGTACTTGAACTCAAGACCTAAGTTAAGGATATTTTTCTTGGTCCATAGATCAATCTCAGCTTCTTGAGTACTTGTGAGGTGTTCCTTCCAGTTGCCCACTTCACCTGTAACACACAACTATTAGGTCTTACCACACAACACTGTACTTACGTGTTGCTCTCACACAAATATTGCCTTACATATTACTTCATGACAACCTGACTAACATTTTAATATTCAGATGTATAATTTGTCATGATTGAATCAATATACAGATCAACAATACAAATTAAGTAATTTGTTGTGTACTGACTTCTATTGAATACATACACATCCAAAGCAATGGTTATTATGACCACCACGTAAGAGTTTACTGACCAACCAGCAAGTATAATCGAGTATACTTGATTATATACTATACGACTATAGTATTATACCCCGAGTATAATCCAGGCCTAACATTAACTCTGGTCAGACACAGCAAGAAGCTGGGTGCACGTCTCAGTATATATATCCTGTTGTTTGTGCCAAGAGCTTAATGAGATACGTATTATAATTCAATAGTGGTGTGACCTTTGTGTCCTAGTTGTAATTTTGTGGAATTTATTTTATATTTCTCTGCTTGTAATTGTGTAGAATTATAGTGCATCAGAGCGCTGTTAGTGATCACCTGGGGTTGTGGTCAGTGAGGGTGTGTTGTGGTCAGTGAGGGTGTGTTGTGGTCAGTGAGGGTGTGTTGTGGTCAGTGTAGGTGGTGTTGTGGTCAGTGAGGGTGTGTTGTGGTCAGTGAGGGTGTGTTGTGGTCAGTGAGGGTGTGTTGTGGTCAGTGAGGGTGTGTTGTGGTCAGTGAGGGTGTGTTGTGGTCAGTGAGGGTGTGTTGTGGTCAGTGAGGGTGTGTTGTGGTCAGTGAGGGTGTGTTGTGGTCAGTGTGTGGGGGTTGTGGTCAGTGAGGGTGTGTTGTGGTCAGTGAGGGTGTGTTGTGGTCAGTGAGGGTGTGTTGTGGTCAGTGAGGGTGTGTTGTGGTCAGTGAGGGTGTGTTGTGGTCAGTGAGGGTGTGTTGTGGTCAGTGAGGGTGTGTTGTGGTCAGTGAGGGTGTGTTGTGGTCAGTGAGGGTGTGTTGTGGTCAGTGAGGGTGTGTTGTGGTCAGTGAGGGTGTGTTGTGGTCAGTGAGGGTGTGTTGTGGTCAGTGAGGGTGTGTTGTGGTCAGTGAGGGTGTGTTGTGGTCAGTGAGGGTGTGTTGTGGTCAGTGAGGGTGTGTTGTGGTCAGTGAGGGTGTGTTGTGGTCAGTGTGTGGGTGTTGTGGGACACAAGGCAGCAGCTCCTGGGGTTGTGGGACACAAGCCAGCAGCTCCTGGGGTTGTGGGACACAAGGCAGCAGCTCCTGGGGTTGTGGGACACAAGGCAGCAGCTCCTGGGGTTGTGGGACACAAGGCAGCAGCTCCTGGGGTTGTGGGACACAAGGCAGCAGCTCCTGGGGTTGTGGGACACAAGGCAGCAGCTCCTGGGGTTGTGGGACACAAGCCAGCAGCTCCTGGGGTTGTGGGACACAAGGCAGCAGCTCCTGGGGTTGTGGGACACAAGGCAGCAGCTCCTGGGGTTGTGGGACACAAGGCAGCAGCTCCTGGGGTTGTGGGACACAAGGCAGCAGCTCCTGGGGTTGTGGGACACAAGCCAGCAGCTCCTGGGGTTGTGGGACACAAGGCAGCAGCTCCTGGGGTTGTGGGACACAAGGCAGCAGCTCCTGGGGTTGTGGGACACAAGGCAGCAGCTTCTGGGGTTGTGGGACACAAGGCAGCAGCTTCTGGGGTTGTGGGACACAAGGCAGCAGCTTCTGGGGTTGTGGGACACAAGGCAGCAGTTCCTGGGGTTGTGGGACACAAGGCAGCAGCTCCTGGGTTGTGGGACACAAGGCAGCAGTTCCTGGGGTTGTGGGACACAAGGCAGCAGCTCCTGGATTCACATGGTTTAGGAAGAGGCAAGGTCTCGTCTCCTGAGCTAGCAAGAGGCAAGGTCTCGTCTCCTGAGCTAGCAAGAGGCAAGGTCTCGTCTCCTGAGCTAGCAAGAGGCAAGGTCTCGTCTCCTGAGCTAGCAAGAGGCAAGGTCTCGTCTCCTGAGCTAGGAAGAGGCAAGGTCTCGTCTCCTGAGCTAGGAAGAGGCAAGGTCTCGTCTCCTGAGCTAGCAAGAGGCAAGGTCTCGTCTCCTGAGCTAGCAAGAGGCAAGGTCTCGTCTCCTGAGCTAGCAAGAGGCAAGGTCTCGTCTCCTGAGCTAGCAAGAGGCAAGGTCTCGTCTCCTGAGCTAGGAAGAGGCAAGGTCTCGTCTCCTGAGCTAGCAAGAGGCAAGGTCTCGTCTCATGAGCTAGCAAGAGGCAAGGTCTCGTCTCCTGAGCTAGCAAGAGGCAAGGTCTCGTCTCCCGAGCTAGCAAGAGGCAAGGTCTCGTCACCCGAGCTAGGAAGAGGCAAGGTCTCGTCTCATGAGCTAGGAAGAGGCAAGGTCTCGTCTCCTGAGCTAGCAAGAGGCAAGGTCTCGTCTCATGAGCTAGCAAGAGGCAAGGTCTCGTCTCCTGAGCTAGCAAGAGGCAAGGTCTCGTCTCCCGAGCTAGCAAGAGGCAAGGTCTCGTCACCCGAGCTAGGAAGAGGCAAGGTCTCGTCACCCGAGCTAGGAAGAGGCAAGGTCTCGTCACCCGAGCTAGGAAGAGGCAAGGTCTCGTCACCCGAGCTAGGAAGAGGCAAGGTCTCGTCACCCGAGCTAGCAAGAGGCAAGGTCTCGTCTCCTGAGCTAGGAAGTTGGCAAGGTCTCGTCTCCTGAGCTAGCAAGAGGCAAGGTCTCGTCTCCTGAGCTAGGAAGAGGCAAGGTCTCGTCTCCTGAGCTAGCAAGAGGCAAGGTCTCGTCTCCTGAGCTAGCAAGAGGCAAGGTCTCGTCTCCTGAGCTAGCAAGAGGCAAGGTCTCGTCTCCTGAGCTAGGAAGAGGCAAGGTCTCGTCTCCTGAGCTAGGAAGAGGCAAGGTCTCGTCTCCTGAGCTAGGAAGAGGCAAGGTCTCGTCTCCTGAGCTAGGAAGAGGCAAGGTCTCGTCTCCTGAGCTAGGAAGAGGCAAGGTCTCGTCTCCTGAGCTAGCAAGAGGCAAGGTCTCGTCTCCTGAGCTAGCAAGAGGCAAGGTCTCGTCTCCTGAGCTAGCAAGAGGCAAGGTCTCGTCTCATGAGCTAGCAAGAGGCAAGGTCTCGTCTCCTGAGCTAGCAAGAGGCAAGGTCTCGTCTCCTGAGCTAGGAAGAGGCAAGGTCTCGTCTCCTGAGCTAGCAAGAGGCAAGGTCTCGTCTCCTGAGCTAGCAAGAGGCAAGGTCTCGTCTCCTGAGCTAGGAAGAGGCAAGGTCTCGTCTCCTGAGCTAGCAAGAGGCAAGGTCTCGTCTCCTGAGCTAGCAAGAGGCAAGGTCTCGTCTCCTGAGCTAGGAAGAGGCAAGGTCTCGTCTCATAAGGTTGAAAAGTGTCGTGTATTTTTACTTCAATTATTGTTTATTTTCATCTTTTATTTCCTTCATCACATTACTGTCTGTCAGTCTTACTCTTCCTAAACAATATTGTTTTTGAGTCTTAGCCTGACAGCTGAGTGGACAGCGCTTCGGATTTGTAGTCCCGAGGTTCCTGGTTCAATTCCCGGTGGAGGCGTAAACAAAAATGGGCAAAATGTTTCACCCTGATGCCCCTGTTACCTCGCAGTAAATAGGTACATGGGAGTTAGACAGCTGCTACAGGCTGCTGCTTCCTGGGGGTGTGTAACAAAAAGGAGGTCTGGTCGAGGACCGGGCCGCGGGGATGCTAGGCCCCGAAATCATCTCACGATAACTTCAATATAGATAACCTTTACTCTATCTAAACAATCCTCTGTGCCTTACCCTTTCTAAACAATCCTCTGTGCCTTACCCTTTCTAAACAATCCTCTGTGCCTTACCCTTTCTAAACAATCCTCTGTGCCTTACCCTTTCTAAACAATCCTGTGCCTTACCCTTTCTAAACAATCCTCTGTGCCTTACCCTTTCTAAACAATCCTGTGCCTTACCCTTTCTAAACAATCCTCTGTGCCTTACCCTTTCTAAACAATCCTCTGTGCCTTACCCTTTCTAAACAATCCTCTGTGCCTTACCCTTTCTAAACAATCCTCCGTGCCTTACCCTTTCTAAACAATCCTCTGTGCCTTACCCTTTCTAAACAATCCTCTGTGCCTTACCCTTTCTAAACAATCCTCTGTGCCTTACCCTTTCTAAACAATCCTCTGTGCCTTACCCTTTCTAAACAATCCTCTGTGCCTTACCCTTTCTAAACAATCCTCTGTGCCTTACCCTTTCTAAACAATCCTCTGTGCCTTACCCTTTCTAAACAATCCTCTGTGCCTTACCCTTTCTAAACAATCCTGTGCCTTACCCTTTCTAAACAATCCTCTGTGCCTTACCCTTTCTAAACAATCCTGTGCCTTACCCTTTCTAAACAATCCTGTGCCTTACCCTTTCTAAACAATCCTCCATGTTTTTTTACCAATTCCATGTTCAGTTTGACTGTGGTGTCCTTAGCTGTGCTCTGCTCCTCTCTGCGCTGCATCTCTGGGAAGCTTGTGTAGTGAGCGACCTGTGGACCCCAACCAATACTGTTAAATGGTAATCCAGTTGTAATTATTATCAAACAAATGATACAATGGTGAAAGTAACCTCATCAGATTAACAAGACTTCAATACGCTCTCTTCTATTTCCCGACGTTGTTTAGTAAGTAAATTTTATTCAGGAAAGTAAATACATAGTTGATTTACAAACATAATGTTGGATTTATAGATAGATGTAGTACATACAATACCTGAAGCCACTAGTATGTGTAACGTTTCGGGCAAATCTTGCCCGAAACTTGCATATCTTGCAGGTTCACCCCTATTACATTCATCATATTATTGTCTGGTCTTCCATTATCTTCACTCCCACCTTTGTCATCATAATTACTGCCCGAAACGCTTTGCGTAATAGTGGCTTTAGGCATTGTATGTACTAGCTCTGTCTATAAATCCATCAACTTTGTATCTTACCTTGTATGTATGTACTTTACCTGAATTTATTTATTTATTTATAACTTCTCGCATTAGCATGAAACCTTTTCTGGTGAGTAATATGAATCGACCAAATTGATCAAGAGGAATTGCTAAAGCCAGCAACTTCACGAACAAGAGGACACACAGTCAAGCTCAGGAAACGAAGGTGACAAAATTATATCTGAAAGTTTTCTTTTGCGTGTCTTGTGTTTTAGCAAGTTGTGGTGGCTTGTCGTGGTCCCACTCCATGTAGCATAGCCTCACTTCCCTCAGTCCTGCACGGGAGACATCTCCTGTCACGCAGGGTGCAGTCGCACCTCCACAGATCTCCAGTATCAGCTCTTGATACTGGCAATGGCTCAAAAGGGCCACCACTTACGGGCTATTCGTGCCCGTGCCACCTTTTGGGTGGCTTAAATCTTCATCAATCAATCTCAGTCCTGAGTACTGGGGCCATGCTGCTTGTGGTTCCGACTTCAGTTGTCTTGTCTGCATTACTCAACTTTCTCCCTCTGGAGGCAGTGATAGCATTCTTCTCGGCGCTCCTCACGTGGTGGCAGGTTGTGCTGGGCCAGGCTTTTTATTTGGCCTGGTACTTAACCCTTTTGTCTGCCATTTTTACTTCTCTTTTATGTGGGTATTGTCATGCACTTTCTCTGGGCTTCTGCTATTGCCTGACATTCTCAATGGATGTTGTATTTTCGGGACCCCAGCCTATCTTCTGGGGGGGGGGGGTCCAGAAGGGTTGTGGCGTTGCCTGTTTTTGGTGAGGAACACGTCCTCGGGTGAGTCAAGTTCTTGGCCGTTGATCTTCCCTATCTTGGCTTTCTGTTTCCTTTTGTTGGTGCTGTGAGGGAAGTGCTGTGAGTGAGGTGCTGTGAGGGAGGTGCTGGGAGGGATGTGCTGTGAGTGAGGTGCTGTGAGGGAGTAAGGGGAAGGGGAGCACTTCACCTGGTTTTTGACTATCCCTTCTAAGTTCCATTGTTGAGGACGTTCGGGTTCTCTCACTTGGACCTCGGCGGTGTCGGGGTGTTCTGTCCCTCTCCTGCGTCCAGGACTGTCAGGTCAGACGTCCTCCCCTACTCTGTGTACAAGAAGGGGATAGACAGGAGACACTGAACTACAGACCAGTGTCCCTGATTTACGTACCATGCAAATTAATGGAGAACATTGTGCGAAAAAAGCTAGTGGAACATCTGGAGCGAAGGAACTTTGTAACAACACCAACATGGGTTCAGGGATGGCAAGTCCTGCTTCACAGGATTAATTGAATTCTACGACCAGGCAACAAGAATCAGGCAAGAAAGAGAGGGGGTGGGCAGACTGCATATTTTTGGATTGCCAGAAAGCCTTTGGCACAGTACCACACAAGAGGCTAGTGCGTAAAGCTGGAGATGCAGGCAGGAGTGAAAGGGAAGGTACTCCATTGGATAAGGGAGTACTTGAGTAACAGAAGACAGCGAGTCACTGTGAGGGGTTAGGCCTCAGAGTAGCAAGGCGTCACTAGTGGAGTCCCGCAGGGTTCAGTCTTTGGATCTATACTGTTTCCGATATATGTAAATGATCTCCCAGAGGATATAGAATCGTTCCTCTCATTGTTTGCTGATGATGCAAAAATTATGAGGAAGATTAAGACGAAGGAAGATAGTATGAGGCTACAAGATGACCTAGACAAACTGAATGAATGGTCCAACAAATGGCTACTAAAGTTCAACCCGAGTAAATGTAAGGTAATGAAATTAGGCAGTGGAAACAGGAGGCCAGACACAGGATACAGAATGGGAGATGAAGTCCTTTATGAAACGGACAGAGAGAAAGATCTAGGAGTTGATTTCACACCAAACCTGTCTCCTGAAGCCCACATAAAAAATAATAACATCTGCGGCGTATACAAGGCTGGCTAACATCAGAACAGCGTTCAGGAACCTGTGCAAGGAATCCTTCAGAACCTTGTATACCACATACGTAAGACCAATCCTGGAGCATGCGGCCCCACAATGGAGCCCGTACCTTGTCAAGCACAAGACGAAGCTTTAAAAAGTTCAGAGGTATGCCACTAGGCTAGTCCCAGAACTAAGAGGCATGAGTTACAAGGACAGACTGCGTGAAATGCACCTCACGACCTTGGAAGACAGAAGAGTAAGGGGAGACATGATCTTTACCTAGAAAATTCTCAGAGAAATTGACAGGGCAGATAAAGATAAACTAACACTGGTGGTACGAGAACAAGGGGACACAGGTGGTGACTGAGTACCGAAATGAGCCACAGGGACGTTAGAAAGAACTTTTTCCAGTGTCAGTAGTTAACAGATGGAATGTATTCGGCAGTGATGTGGTGGAGGTTGACTCCATACACAGTTTTAAATGTAGATATGATAGAGCCCAGTAGGCTCAGGAACCTGTACACCAGTTGATTGACAGTTGAGAGGCGGAACCAAAGAGCCAAAGTTCAACCCCCGCAAGTACAACTATGTGAGTAAAAATAGGCGAGTACTAGCACGTCTAGCGCTTAGGACTGATGGAAAAACCCCACGACGCCCTGGGGGAGGGAGGGGGGGGGGTTCAGGGGCCCCTACCAGAAGCCAAGCGACTCATCCCCAGCCAGACACTGGTGGCGGCTGGGTGGGACAGGCAGCAACCCAACAAAGCGCCCTCGAGGGACATAAGAAGAAAAGCTTCGGCACAGAAGGCGCTCAAGAAGGTTAACAACAGTTGGACGTTGGTGTTCCAACAACTTCTTATTTATTTATTAATTCAAATACAAGAAGGTACATTGGGTTTGTGGTGATACATAGCCTGGTGTTTACAGTCTTGTAAAGCCACTAGTACGCGCAGCGTTGCGGGCAGGTCCTTAATCTAACAGATAATTCTAAGTAGGCAAATTCTAGTAAAATTTATAAAATGTCAACAGGTACATTGTAAGAAAAAAATGAGAGAGATTAGTAGGTATATTAAAGCACATTGGTAACTGATTGACTGCATTGAACAGCTTGATTCGTAATTTAACAAAGATTAATAGACACAATACAGCATATTGATAGCACATATAAGACGACAGCAATGATCACAATGGTAAAGTTGTTTGGATTAGGTACATAAAGATTGGGTAGCACTAGATACAGTGCTCACATAATAAGTCAGATCTCATTTGCTAACTTGGCTTCCATTTGCTCCACATTGATCTTCCTGCAGATAATCCCTAACTCTCCAATAGTCTCTCCTGTATTACCTCATGCTCCACGTCTTGTCTCTAACTCTCTCTTTCAGTTCTACAATGTTATCAAACATCAAACTGAGAAAGGCCTTTGATACTGTTAATCACGATTACCTCTTATGTAAACTCCATCATTATGGAATCCGAGGCCATGCACTGGACTATATCCAATCCTATCTTAGTGATAGACACCAATGTGTAGCCATCAATAATATAACCTCTCCCACTCTACCTATAACCGTTGGAGTGCCACAGGGCAGCATCTTGGGACCTCTTCTATTTCTTATATACATCAATGATCTGCCTAATGTCTCTAACATTCTGAAACCTATTTTGTTTGCTGATGATACTACCCTCATCTACTCCAACCCCAACCCACATACACTAAATGATGTTGTTAATAATGAACTAAAAAAAAGTCCACTTATGGATGTCAACCAACAAACTAACACTTAACATAGAAAAGACCTACTACATCCTATTTGGAAGAAAATATACAAATGCAATTCAGCTTCAGATAGACAATGTAAACATTAGCAATAAAAAATGATGGAAAGTTTCTTGACATATTCCTAGACAAGAGACTCAACTTCAGTACCCACATACAACACATAACTAAGAAAGTATCTAAAACAGTTGGTATACTCTCCAAAATCAGATATTATGTACCTAACTCTGCTCTCATCTCTATATTATGCACTAATCTATCCCTATCTCAACTATGGTATCTGTGCATGGGGTTCAACCACTGCAAACCACCTCAAGTCCATCATCACCCAGCAAAAATCTGCTATCAGAATAATATCAAATTCTGCTTTCAGACAACACACAGCCCCCTTGTTTAACTCCCTAAACATGCTAAACATAATCTCACTCCATAAATTCTCTTGTGTCAGCTACATTTACAAAACCCTGTTCTTAAATGCAAATCCTTGTCTGAAACTCTTCCTGGACAGATGTAATAGGATCCATTATCACCACACCAGAAATAAATATCTCTGATATCCCCAGAGTTAAACTTAATCTGTGTAAACACTCTATGCAAATAAAGGGACCTAGTTTATGGAACTCACTCCCTACTGAATTGAAAAGTTGTCCAACTTTTACATCATTCAAAATCAATACTAAAAAGTACCTAATTTCATCTTCATAGTTTTTCACTTTTTGCCTTAAAATTGCACTGTATCTATTGCTACCCAATCTCCCAACCTTTATGTACCCAATCTGAACATCTTTACCATTGTGATCATTGCTGTCTTATATGTGCTGTCAATCTGCTGTATGGTGTCTATTAATCTTGTTTAAATTACTAATCAAGCTGTCAATGTAATCAATCAGAGCTTTAATATAACAATGTGCTTTAATATACTTACTAAGCTCTCTCATCTCATTTTTCTCTTGCAATGTATCTATCATTTATCAATTCTGATAGAAATTACCTACTTAAAATTATCTGTTAGATTAATACTGTACTATCCAATGTATTCTCACAAACCCAATGTACCTTCTTGTATATAAATAAATAAATAAATAAATAAATAAATAAATAAATAGTGACATGCTGTACGTGACAGTGGGTGTCTGTAGGGATAGGGGACTGTAAGGAAAGTTACGTACCTGCTGTAGCTGGTGTTGGGTGAGTGAGGTACCAAGGAAATTGTTCAGTTTGTGCAGTTGTCCCATAATGTCTGTCTTGAGGTCCTCGTAGAACAGGAAGAGCATGTTGGGATGCTCTCGCTTCACCCAGGCCTCCCGTACGTGCTCCAAGTATGGACCGTACAACACTGGAAGGAACAGTAAACAAAGTAAACCATTGTGACACACACCAGAGCATGTACAACATCAACTAAGCTCCTAATATTACATGATCTCAATCTCAGCAAAATATTTTGGCAACAAAAGATCCCCCTCTTCCCTCCAATGATAGAAACGAAATGTGCGAGTAAAATTGGTTGACACGGCAGACAAACACTTGATGAGGCTTCACATTACTATGTCAACAAGGGCAGGGGGCAGGGAACTCACTAGCACAGCCCGTCCTCCTATTTTGGTAGTACATATAGTAACGACGAGGACCATTGCTTATATATGTGCCGACTTACAACGAAATTAGAAGCCGAAATGGGAACCATTGAGTTTGACAAACCGGAAAGCTATTTTTTTTACTCGTGTTGCTTTGATAAACTAAGCTAACCTAACCTTCCTAGGTCTAATACATGATATCTGAGGCTTAATATAGTACATGTGTGCTATAGTAGGCCTAGGAATATTTAAGTAACTTTTTTTAGCTTTTTTTTTTTTTTGAGATATATACAAGAGTTGTTACATTCTTGTTGCATTTATTGGTAAACAATTCCTTACTACTCAGTATACTACTATTTTAAAGCCAAGTGTGAGATTTTCCTTTTATTTCCTTACTTAAAGGATCTGAACATTAATACAAAATGTCCTCAGTCAGAAAGGACTGCGCCAGAGCACCTTAATACCATAAGAGGAAAATAGTCAATAAGTAAACGCCAGGGTTCCAAACTATTTTTTGTTATTTATAAAAGAAACCACAATGTACAAAAACTTCAAAAGTAGAAAACAAGAGTTAATACAGGACACGCAGAATACAGTAATACAGGACACGCAGAATACAGTAATACAGGACACGCAGAATACAGTAATATAACATGAAAAGAAGCTAAACAAAGAAGAACCAAGAGGGAAATACACTATACAAATCATACAACAAACCCCCGACACGGACACATAATACAGAACAATCAGAACACGACACTTTTATTTATTTATTTATTTATTTATGCATATACAAGAATGTACATAAGGAATGTGAGGATACAAATATGGTAATTACAGTCTTGTAAAGCCACTAGCACGCGCAGCGTTTCGGGCAGAAACGCTGCGCGAACGCTGAATAATAATATTATTATTATTATTATTATTATTATTATTATTAATCACAATCGTGTATCTCAGACACTCGAGCAAAACAGAACAATTTGCTAATCATAATTACTCGAACACTTGGACCATCAAACATTCAGGGAATAATTACATTAATTACTGTTAAACGGATAGATAATTAATCGAGAACGAATTCCATTAACATGACACTGTCACTTTTGACAGCTTGCCAATAACAACTATGTCAGTTCACTTTGATGACGTTAATTACCCTTAATTAACTTGAGTAATTAATTACTATCAAATGGACAGATAATTCAGAACAAATTACATTAACTCAATGCTGTTGCTCACAACAGGCTCATCAATACCTTGTGAATTGACTTTGATGACGTTAATTACCCCTAATTAACTTAAGTAATTAACTACTATCCAATGTACAGATAATTAATTCAAAACTAATTCCATTAACTCAAAAACGCTCAGAACAGCTGGTGTTAATTACCCCTAATTAACTTGAGTGATTAATTACTGTTCAACGGACAGATAATTTGATCTATAAACAAGAGCTTCGGCTCAGAACATGAGACGCCTAACCTATGTAGTACTCAATCCTACAAAATATCTTAATCCTAACACTGTATTTGTATTGACTTCACACAATCCACAACAAAGTCCTTGTAAGGCTCTCACGGATCGAGTTAACTATTGTTGTTTGTGGTTAGTGAGAACTCAAGAGGTGCAGATAAGTGTTGTCATGCTGTCTTGAGGCTATCTTGAGATGATTTCTGGGCTTAGCGTCCCCGCGGCCCGGTCCTCGACCAGGCCTCCACCCCCAGGAAGCAGCCCATGACAGCGTTCTAACTCCCAGGTACCTATTTACTGCTAAGTAACAGGGGCATCAGGATGAAAGAAACATTTTTGCCCATTTGTCTCCGCCTCCACCAGGGATCGAACCCGGAACCTCAGGACTACGAATCTGAAGCGCTGTCTACCCAGCTGTCAGGCGCTCTTGTGAGCAGGTGAAGATTAAGTAATGTCAAAAGAAGGCGCCAAGCCTGGTAGACTATTTACTCTGTATAAAATATTGAAAAGTTCCTAGATATCATTCCGGATGTCAATACAAGAAAAAATACACTTAAGATGAGCAATGTCAAATGCATCAAGGATATCAACGGGCATGTGACACTAAAGGAATGTTGGGAAAAGAACACTGCTTTCCCCCCAAAAAAAGCTGTGGGTTTTCTGAGGGAAGAAAACGAATGTCTGGGCGCTGAGTCTAACCGCCCAATTAAGCTGCGCTCAACGAGCCAATGTTATATAAGCTCTGCCCGCAGACTGGGGGGGCTCACCATCTGGTCACCACTTGGTACGGGAGACATCTCCCGTCACGCAGGGTGCAGTCGCGCCTCCACAGATCTCCAGTATCTTCTATTGATACTGGTAATGGCTCAAAAGGGCCACCACTTACGAGCTATTCATGCCCGTGCTACCTTTTGGGTGGCTTCATCTTCATCTTAACACATTCACAAAGGAGACATCTCCCGTCATGCAGGGTGCAGTCGCACCTCCACAGATCTCCAGTATCAGCAAATGATACTGGTAATGGCTCAAAAGGGCCACCACTTACGGGCTATTCATGCCCGTGCCACCTCTTGGGTGGCTTAATCTTCATCAATCAATCAATCAACTGGGGGGGGGGGCCCTGTTCTCGACAAGCAAGCAGCTGCTCACTTACAAATACAAAATTCTGAAATTCGGGACATTTTACAAGGAGGTACATATGTTAGTTGTCTTGCAGAAGACTATTATATTTCACTAACAGCCTATATGTAAGTTGACATACATTAGTAGCAGATTTTATAATATATATGTAATCTGTTGAGTTGTGATAATCAAGGTTGTGACTTTTGGTTTAGTTAATCTGGTTACTATATTGTAGTTCTAATATGAATTATAAATAAAGTTTGCTCCCTGTCCTAGTTTAGGAAGTCAAACACATTATAATAAAGTCCAATGTGTTTTGTGTATGAATGTTAATAAAATAATACATGTCTGAGAACAATAAACTGGTGACAGAACTCACAGTCATCATCAATCAGGAACTGGACGAACTGGTTGAAGGAGCCCACGAAGCCATGGGCGTTAAATATACGACTGTGGTGATAGTAAGACATGCAGACATCCTTGGGGTTCCTGGCCACATACACCACCTGCAGCATGGACCACATATTGGTCAAGAATAATGGTTACCAAGGAATGAATATTGCTATACAATTCCCCCTGAATAGCAGAGTATAAACTGCCTCTTCCCTCTCACCTTCGTCGTTGACAGCCTAGTCACCACGAACATTCAGCACCAACACGTATACACATCTACAAATACGTGTGTTTTATTGGAGTTCCAGCCCGTGTGTTCTGCTGGAGTTCCAGCCCGGGTGTTCTGGAGTTCCAGCCCGTGTGTTCTGGAGTTCCAGCCCGTGTGGTCTGGAGTTCCAGCCCGTGTGTTCTGGAGTTCCAGCCCGTGTGGTCTGGAGTTCCAGCCCGTGTGTTCTGGAGTTCCAGCCCGTGTGTTCTGGAGTTCCAGCCCGTGTGTTCTGGAGTTCCAGCCCGTGTGTTCTGGAGTTCCAGCCCGTGTGTTCTGGAGTTCCAGCCCGTGTGTTCTGGAGTTCCAGCCCGTGTGTTTTGGAGTTCCAGCCCGTGTGTTCTGGAGTTCCAGCCCGTGTGTTCTGGAGTTCCAGCCCGTGTGGTCTGGAGTTCGTGTGTTATGGAGTTCCAGCCCGTGTGTTCTAGAGTTCCAGCCCGTGTGTTCTGGAGTTCCAGCCCGTGTGGTCTGGAGTTCCAGCCCGTGTGTTATGGAGTTCCAGCCCGTGTGTTCTGGAGTTCCAGCCCGTGTGTTCTGGAGTTCCAGCCCGTGTGGTCTAGACCAATGGCCGTCAACAGGTGCTCCGCGGACCACTGCTGGTTCCACCTGACAATTTTATGTGTATATTGTGTGCAACTGTAATTTCTGTAACTGTTATATTTAAAGGCATCAAACAGTTTGACTTTAATAACTATCATTTCTTGTTTGTTGGTCCGCCGGATTTAAAATTATGAAGTTGGTGATCCGTAAGCGCATTAAGGTTGGGTTTTCTTCCTATTGGGGAGTGTTGTACATGCTGCTATGGCGGTATGTCCACTCACAGGATGAGCGGCGATGCCCGATAAACTCGCCCCTCGGGGCAAAATTTAAATTTGATTTAAAATTTGGCCACTGTTGGTTTAGACAACACCTTCCCCCCCCCCCTTCTCTCTCCACCTTCACCCAAACACCTCACCGGCAGTAGTTACCTTGTCACCTCCTTATTTATTTTATGTATTTATAGTCAAATTCAAATTCAAATGTTTATTCAGGCAAAGTACATACATACAGGGTGTGATACAAATGTTGATGAATTTATAGATAGCGCTAGTACATACAGAGCCTAAAGCCACTATTACGCACTATTATATATATACAAGAAGGTACATTGGGTTTATGAGCGTACATAGCATTGATGTTTTTACATTCTTGTAAAGCCTAACACTAACACGCATAGCGTTTCGGGCAGGTCCTTAATCTAAAATGTAATTTTAAGTAGATAATTTCTAGCAAAATTGAAGAAATGTTAACAGGTATATTGTAAGACAATTTGGCAAAGATTAGTAGGTATATTAAAATAAAATTTGAGGGTTATCAACAGGTATATTGTAGCATAATTTGAGGATTATTTTAAAGTATTATGGAGTAAAAAAAAATGCGTTCAATGTAACAACCATGATAAAAGATGATAGCAATGATTACAATGGTGAAGTTGTATGGCATAGGTACATATATTGGGGGATTGGGTAGCACTAGATACAGTGCGACTTTCAAGCACAAGGTAGGAAACTATGAAGATGAAATTAGGTACTTTTTGGTTTTATTTTTGAATAAGGCAAATGTTTGACAGCTTTTCAATTCATTAGGGAGTGAGTTCCATAGACTGGGTCCCTTTATTTGCAAAGAGTGTTTACACAGATTAAGTTTGACTCTGGGGATATCAAAGATATATTTATTTCTGGTGTGGTGATAATGGGTCCTATTACATCTGTCCAGGGAGAGTTTCAGAACAGGGTTTGCAGCTAAGAAAAGGGTTTTATACATGTAAATTGCACAAGAGAATGTGTGGAGTGAATTTATGTTTAGTATGTTTAGGGATTTAAAGAGATGGGCGGAGTGTTGTCTGAAAGCAGAGTTTGTTATTGTTCTGATAGCAGATTTTTGCTGGGTGATGATGGGCTTGAGGTGGTTTGCAGAGGTTGAACCCAATGCATAGATACCATATGTAAGGTAGGGATAAATTAGCGTGTAGTATAGTGAGAGGAGAGCAGAGTTTGGAACACAATATCTGATTTTAGAGAGTATACCAACTGTTGTTGAGACTTTCTTGGTTATGTGTTGTATGTGGGTGCTGAAGTTGAGTCTCTTGTCTAAATATAATAATAATAATAATAATTTATTTAGGAACAGTACATACATAGTTGCAGAGTTACAGTACAAACATTCTGTTAGATTTAAAGATAGAGGTAGTACATACAATACCTACAGCCTAGTACGCATAGTGTGTCGGGCAAGGTGAGGTGGGGGGAAATACTTGGACTAAAACTTAATAGTAATTGAGCTTAAAGTATAAATTGAGTTGAATGAAAAAAAAATAATAAAAGATTAAAAAAAAGGGGGAACATGGTAGAAAATAGCCAATATACAAGTTGGTCAATAAACAGCATTTTTTTTTTTATAGTAAGACGTGGGATGACATTTAGAAGTAAGGTCAAGGAACTTTCCATCATTTTTATTACTGATGTCTATATAGGCCAAGGAACTTTCAAGAACTTTCAAGAAGTATAAGGGAGCCGGTCGGCCGAGCGGACAGCACGCTGGACTTGTGAACCTGTGGTCCCGGGTTCGATCCCAGGCGCCGGCGAGAAACATTGGGCAGAGTTTCTTTCACCCTATGCCCCTGTTACCTAGCAGTAAAATAGGTACCTGGGGTGTTAGTCAGCTGTCACGGGCTGCTTCCTGGGGGGTGGAGGCCTGGTCGAGGACCGGGCCGCGGGGACACTAAAGCCCCGAAATCATCTCAAGATAAGCCAAGGAACTTTCCATCATTTTTATTACTGATGTCTATCTGAAGCCCCCAAGTTTGCTTTAACCCTTAGGCTGCTAAGAATAAGAGGCCGGAAGGCGAAACATATTAGAAGTACGTAAAAATTTCTGTAAAATGTGAAACAAATCTCAAAGTTATTGGCTTCAGCGTCGTGAAAGTTTCATCAAAATATTTTCAGAAAATGATTTTAGACGATTTTTTTTTTAAAGAAGAACTTTTTGTTGATAAGGAGAACAGCTCCTATTAACAAGAACTGAAGGATTATGCAGTAATAAAGAGATACAAGCACCTGTCCGACGCACAAAGAAGAACAATAGCAGTAAGAAGTGTCCACAAAGTGGATATACAGTTGGTGCCTTTATATCATTGCTGAGTAATACATAATAACACAAATAATAATGAATAACTATGTTAATATGATCTATTTTGTTATATATATATATATATATATATATATATATATATATATATATATATATATATATATATATATATATATATATATATATATATATATATATATATATATATATATATATTTTGACGATAATCTCTTTCAAGAGAGATTAAGCCTGCTCTTCCCTCCAAAGTACGTTACATCAACAGATAATATAGAAGAAATATCCAACAAGTATCTCCAAAACGTTTTGCCCAGAGAGCAAAACGTATCCAGCACACCGGCACACCTGCTCGCCCCCGCCACCGTTAACCGGCAAACTGCTTGTCCATCGCCTGCCTGTCGCTGATTGGCTGGTGTCCAGTCGCACCTGCCCCACCACCCTCCGCCACAAGTTGATGTCTGGGCTGCAGCGACCCAGATAAGGCAGAATATCCCAGTGCTCCTTGCAGTTGACACGTCTCATTGGTAGACTAAGCCTTGGCTTACGTGTACTAAGGGAGGTGGCAGCTCGAAGCCAATATTCCGGCATCATCATTCTTATTTACTTTGCTATTTCTCATTTGTCTTAACGTAACTTTTCATTTGCCAGTGATTATTCTTATTATTTTGTTTGTTGACTTGTCTGTTATATTTTATACTCAATTTTATTCATGTCTTGTTTTTCTAACGTAATTAAAATTTCATTGTTAAATTTACTTGTGTTTTGTGTGTCTTCCCATTACCTTACCAGACGAAAGTTCCAGCTTTTCTCTTTTTTTTTCTTTATGTGACGAGGCCCTGCCCCTAGCTTTTGAAACAGCCGAACACCAACGCTTTACCGTCACAATATATATATATATATATATATATATATATATATATATATATATATATATATATATATATATATATATATATTTTTTTTTTTTTTTTTCCTAAATTTGGCGCATATTTCAAATGCAATATTGACGATTTTTTTTAGAGTAAACCATGCTGAAAAACCTATATTCTAAATCTATGAAAATAAAGATCATATGCTATTCTGAAAGCATAATAACACCAAATGAACAATTGGTGTTATTTTATAATTTTGCAGCTGATTTCAACATCTGACGTTTTCAATGTTCAATTTTATAGTTATTTTTAATGTTTTTGTTTTTCAAGTTTCGTTGATGATCATTTAAAACAAAGTTGGATAATTTGCTAGTAGATTATGCACAACAAATTTGAAAGCGTTTGAGCAAGTTTCAGAAACTAAGTCACATGTCCCATCGCCTATGTATGTATTGAGCACCTTAAGGGTTAACGCTAACCCACTTTTCACGCTGCAAAGGCCAATGCAGCAAGTACAGCTACCTAAGTGTTATAACAGGATGAGAGGTACACAAAGTGTTTTGGTAGCTTTCTTTAGTTAGCTTAAATCTATGACCTCAAGAATTCTTCTTTATCAATTTTGTCGGTTACCATTGCTACTTTGTATGTAGTGATCATATTGCCGCTTATTCTTCTATCTTCTAGCTTTGGGATGTTTATTGTCTCTAACCTATTCTCGTAGCTTTTGTCTGTGAGTTCTGGGAGCCATTGAGCTGCATGTCTTTGCACTTTTTATAATATGTTGATGGGCTTTTTAATATGTAGACACCATACAACCGCTTCATATTCCAGCTTTGGTCTAACAAAAGTCGTGAAAAATTTCTTTAGTATTTCGCCATCCATAAATTTAAAAGCCATTCTGAAGATAGAAAGTGTAGCATAGGCTCCTCTCACGATGTTCTTTATGTGTTTACTAGTTGTGTTTTTGCGGGGGTTGAGCTTTGCTCTTTCGGCCCGCCTCTCAACTGTCAATCAACTGTTTACTAACTACTTTTTTTTTTTTTTTTTTCCCCACACCACACACACACACCCCAGGAAGCAGCCCGTGACAGCTGACTAACTCCCAGGTACCTATTTACTGCTAGGTAACAGGGGCACTTAGGGTGAAAGAAACTTTGCCCATTTGTTTCTGCCTCGTGCGGGAATCGAACCCACGCCACAGAATTACGAGTCCTGCGCGCTATCCACCAGGCTACGAGGCCCCTTCCACCAGGCTACGAGGCCTGGTCCTCAGGTGATAGTTTTCTATCTAGAACCACCCCCAGATCTCTTTCTTTATCAGAAGGGGGCCTTGACAATAGCTAATTGACCACCAGAGTATATACATTGAAAAGTAAGGTACACACGTGTATGCAGCACAGGTTACTGACCTTAGCAGTGTCGAGGAGGTCTGGGGTGAGGAGAGAGGGTGGAAGGTGGGTCTTTATTGTGCGTGGATCAGGAGCGGCCTCCGCCAGCTGCATGACTATGCCCTCCTGGGGCTCCACCCCCGGAGCCAACCTCCGCAGCTTGGCCTCCAGCACAGCACGGAACTCCTGGCTTGGTTTCCCGAGCTCCAACAACATGTCCAATCTGAGGGCCAGAAAGGAAGACAGAGATATACACAAGTTGTCACATACTGACAATATTTTGATAAATTAATAAGCTGTAGAGAATGTGTAATAAGACATGAAAATGTGGCTTGTTGAGCTTAAAGCTGTTGCCCTTGTATGCATTAGTAGTAGGCATCCTTCAGTCTCGGGAGATTATATGAAGTTGCGCCCTGGTTGTCAATCCTGGTGCAGCGTCTGGTGTGACTGATGAGGCCAATCCGAGAGTGGCAGTCCATCCCACATTGAGCACAAGCGAAGTCTGATTCTGGTCTGTCTTCCAGGCTACCGGCCTTCCTTCTCTGTCACTTTGCCTCCGATTTCTTGGCAAGTGACTCCAGGCTGAACGGTCTGCGGCCATTGTCTCCCACATAGCAAGATCGACGTCCATGGCTATCAGGTCCCTCTTGCATACGTCTTTGTACCGTAGCTGGGGCTTGCCTGTTGGACGCTTTCCCTGCCTCAGCTCTCCGTACAGGAGATCCTTGGGGATCCTGCCATCGCCCATTCGCACAACGTGCCCGAGCCAGCGCATTCGTCTCTGTTTCAGCATTGTGTACATGCTGGTGATTCTTGCTCTCCCCAAGACGTTGTTGTTTGTCACCTTGTCCTGCCAGGTGATGTCCAAGATGTGTCGAAGGCAGCGCATGTGGTAGGCATTCAGCCGTCTTTCCTGACGGGCGCGAAGTGTCCAAGACTCACTGCCATAAAGAAGAGTGCTCAGGACACAGGCTCTGTAAACCTGAATCTCTTTATACTCAGTCAGCCTACTGTTGGCCCACACTCTCTTTGTCAGTCTGGACATGGTAGTAGAGGACTTACCGATGCGTTTGTTTAGCTCCGTATCAAGAGAGAGGGAGTCAGAGATTGTGGAGCCCAGGTACACGAAGTCGTGAACGACTTCCAGTTTGTAATCAGAGATGCCGATGTCAGATGGGGAGTCCACTCCTTGTCCCATGACTTGTGTTTTCTTCAGACTGATGGTGAGGCCGAAAATCTGACAGGCCTCGCTGAAGCGGGTCATGAGCCGTTGGAGGTCTTCAGCTGAGTGGGCAGTGACTGCTGCGTAGTCGGCAAAAAGGAAGTCGCGCAGACACCTCAGCCGAACCTTTGTCTTGGCACTCAGCCTGGCGAGGTTAAAGAGCTTTCCATCCAACCTGGTCCGGAGGTAAGTGCCTTCCATAGCAGATCCGAAGGCGTGCCGCAGCATAACTGTGAAGAAAATCCCGAATAGTGATGGAGCCAGTACGCAGCCCTGCTTTTCTGCACTTCGGATGTCGAAGGCGTCTGATGTTAGGCCATCAAAGACCACGGTGCCCTTCATGTTCTCATGGAGCCGGTCGGCCGAGCGGACAGCACGCTGGACTTGTGATCCTGTGGTCCCGGGGTCGATCCCGGGCGCCGGCGAGAAACAATGGGCAGAGTTTCTTTCACCCTATGCCCCTGTTACTTAGTAGTAAAATAGGTACCTGGGTGTTAGTCAGCTGTCACGGGCTGCTTCCTGGGGGTGGAGGCCTGGTCGAGGACCGGGCCGCGGGGACACTAAAAAAAAAGCCCCGAAATCATCTCAAGATAACCTGAAGATGGAAAGATCTGATGATGCTGAGGAGCCTGGGTGGGCATCCGAGCTTGGGGAGGAAGGTGTACTTTCTCGTCTTATATTTATGTACATTATTATGTATGTGTATATTATTGTATTATATATGTGTATATTATACATCCATACCTATATACATGCGAACAAGCCTGAATGGTTCCCAGGACAATATGCAACTGAATATGTGAGTTTTCAGTTACCTATATACATATACAGACTGCTGGGTCATGTACTCACCTAGTTGTGCTTGCGGGGGTTGAGCTTTGGCTCTTTAGTCCCGCCTCTCAACTGTCAATCAACTGGTAATGTGGGGTTTATATTGGTGTATACTGGCAGCAGGTTTTCATGTACACGTTTAATTGGATATGACTGCACATTCCGTGTTGATTATTTTCTTGTTTAGGGCTTCTATCCCTCTGACTAGTGCTCTTGCATCTTGCTTTAATTGGAAGAGGATTTCTCCAAATGTTATATATGTTCAAGTTGATTGATTGATTGATGAAGATTAAGCCACCCAAGAGGTGGCACGGGCATGAATAGCCCGTAAGTGGTAGATATTTTTTACTTAGTAAATGTATACTGTGTGCTGAGGTCGCATTTAATCGTCAGGCTGCTATCGCGGGGGAGGATACTGCTTGACAGTATTTATGAGGGTGTCCAGCTGCTGGACACCTTTTTTGACCAGAAGAGTGGCAGTGTTGATGGCTTCAGGGTGGTTACTGCAAGATTCAGGGACTCTTAAAGCTCTTCTAAGGTCGTTGGTTGCTTCACATTCCAGGAGATAGTGAAGTAGTGGCTTTTCTGTGATTGTTTGGCAGAAGATGCATTCCCTCTGTTTGGGTTCACCAATCTCCCAGTTGCATCTGTAACCTAGACGTAGTCTATATAACCGAACTGCTATTTCCCTATGGATTCCTTTGGGATATTTAACCTGTCTAACTTGGAGGTCTGAAGATACCATATTGCAGAGGGCGAATTTTCTGTTACTCTCTGGTGCAGATAGGCTTTGTTGAGGTTAGAGAGTTTTTTGATGATGGTATTTTTATGTACTCTAGGCTGGGATGGTTTGTTTTATAAATATCACTGGATGATGAGTTGCCAATTTAGCGATTTCATTGGCTTTTTCATTTAATGGGATTTTAATATGGGAGAGGATCCAGTTTAGGGTTATGATGAGTCATTTCCCTTTAGCTGACTGCTCCTAGATACAAAATGGTGGTAATTATTTCCACGTGTCTTTCCACTGCTCCACTTGAGGTTTTTGAGTCTGTGTGTATTTGAGCAGTCAAGTGCAGCTTTTGAGTCTGTGTGTATGATTGCATTTTGAGTGTTTTGTGCAATCACATATGAGAATGCCTGTTGTATGGCAAACAGCTCAGTTTGGGTTGATGATACTGGTCCTCCCAGTCTCCAATATGCCTGTACGCTGTCCGTGCAAAGAGCAGCGCCAGCACTCTCATATTCTGTGTCCACCGATCCGTCTGTGAAGATGTGGGTGGCTCCTGCTACTGCAATGCTGATCATTTGCTTTTCTATGATGCGCCTTAGGATTGTTGGATCATAGGCAGCCTTTTTCACCGGAAGACTTTCTATTATTATTTTGAAGGTAGGCTCCTCCCACGGTGGGGAACAAGTGTAGTTTGGGTGTGGTTGATCACCTCTATCAAGAATCATGCTTTTTAATTGTAGTCTGTTTAGACTTCTCCCGCTCTGGCAGCCCAAGAGTTACCATTGTTTTGGCAAAGTTCAACCACCAAGGCCTGTCGTACTGGGACTGGATCAGGGTAAACAATTATCTTACTAATAATCGTAGCTATTCTTTGAGATATTCTTTCTTGAAGAGAAGGCAAACCCGTTTCCAGTCTTAGAGTTTCAAGCCTGGTCCACATAGGGGCTCCCAGGGCAGCTCTCATAGCATTGTTTTGTGCTACTTCAAGCTTTTTTCCACTGTTGTTGTGATAGGCTTGTGAGTGCAGGTGCTGCATAGTCGATCACTGATCTGACTGCCTGTACATAGTATGTGCGAAGGACTTGCAGATTGGCTCCTCCAGAGAGGGAGGTTAGCGACTTGAGGACTGCCATCCGGGCTTCAGTTCTCTTCCTCAAGTAAGTGACCTCAGCATTAAAATTGATGTTTGTGTCCAGGATTATTCCTAGATACTGATAAGTGTCCACCCATTCAATTGGTTGACCCTGTACTGTGAGTTGGATGTTGGGCTTCACTATTTTTATGGGCATGGCTTTTGTCTTGGTGGGGTTGAGTTTGATACCAATCTGCTTTGCCTCTTCACTGATGCAGTTTGTGGGAGTTTCAACCTCATTATTCTTTCCATTAAACAGTTGAAGAGAAGGTGGGCGGAGAATGCCTCGTTGCGGTGTACAATTTTCATGTTTTATGAATTCAGAGACTGTGCCATGAAGTGTTACTCTTGCTTCTCTGTTTATGAGACAGTTTTTGGTCCAGGAGAGCAGGTTGCCTCTGACCTCTTTGTCGATGAGGCAGCAGAGAATAGCTGGGGCGCTAGCCAGTTCAAAGGCTTTCTCGAGGTCCAGGAATATCAGCATTCCTGGTCTGTCATTCAAGTGGGCTAACAGAGTTGTAATACATTCCACTGTGCCAACCCCTCTTCTATAGGCATTCATGTCCTGGTGCAGTTTAGGCATTTTCCACTCAAGTCTGTTGAGTGCCATTCTGTCAGCCGTCTTGGCTGCACAGCTTTGGAGAGAGATGGGCCTTAGATTAGCTGGATCTTTGGGTTTTGGGATCGGCACTATGTCTGCTTTATTCCAAGCAGAAGGTAGTTTGAGAAGTCCAGGCTAAATTAATTAACCTTAGGTATGCAGCGTCTCCCTCTGGGCCGAGGTTTCTAATAATTTTATAGGTTATTTTGTCGGCTCCAGGGGATGTATCCTTGGAGTTTTTCTTAGCCCGATTGAGCTCATCCAGTGTGAAGGGGGCATTAGTGTCAGAGACTTCTTCACATGCTGTAAGGATTCTGTGCCACCTTTCTTCCTCTAGTCCGGTCTGTACTGCTAATACATCTGGTGGAAGTTGATTGCTGGCTGCTCTCTCTGCAAACCTGGTTGCCAGTACTTCGGCTTCCTGTTGAGGATCCATAGTGTGTGGGACTTTTGGTGTTGTATTTCCTTTGGCTCGGTGAATTTGCTGCCACATCTCTCCGAGAGAGGTGTGTTCATTCGGATGTGAACACTATTCCAGCCACTTTTGTTCTTTTATTAGTCTGGTCTCTTAATGCACATGTTCCTTGACCTCACAAAGTAAGGTCCTGTTGCGGTCACTTGGCTGCTTTTTGTATAGCTTCCTTGTGCTGTTAAATCTATGGTTGAGTTCTTTAACACGTTCGCAATAGTACCAATGATTTTTGTAGTGTCTTAAAGTATGAGGCTGGCAGAAGCATTTATGGATGAGCTATATGAATGGGTTGAGTATGGAGGCTGGTATGGTAGCCTGATGAGACAATACTGTGGCGCCAGGACATGTCGAGTCCTCTTAGTGTCATTGCAATTATAGTAGTCACTAGAAGTGGGTTATGGCATAGCAGAGGTACAGAGGATGGGCAGAGTGGGTGTCCCAGTGGTGTGCAGAGACTGTAGACTGGCTCACGGGTGGTGGGGGACAAAAATCATGGACCCCAATATTGAACAGTTAAGAGCCCACCTCTGAATGGTTTGTTTGGCTTGAATTTCTCTCTTTAATAACGTCTTCTCTGGTAATGATAAACAATTAAACTTGCTGTCTCCATTACTTACATACTTTTGTTCAAGTGTTAACAGAATATAAAGTAATTATCAGAAGAAGGCGCCAAGCCAGGGAGCCTATCTAACAAAATATAAAGTTTCCCCAGTAAATGCCGAGACAAAGTATTTATTTAGAATGTCACTCATTTCTTTGTCATCATCAGTTACTTGACCTATTTTTCAGATGACCAGTCTTCTCCCAAGTCTTTGTTTGATATATTTTTTTTTTTGAGATATATACAAGAGTTGTTACATTGTTGTAGAGCCACTAGTACGCGTAGCGTTTCGGGCAAGTCCCTGGAATACTATCCCCTGCCGCGAAGAATCGTTTTTTCATCCAAGTACACATTTTACTGTTGCGTTAAACAGAGGCTACAGTTAAGGAATTGCGCCCAGTAAATCCTCCCCGGCCAGGATACGAACCCATGACATAGCGCTCGCGGAACGCCAGGCGAGTGTCTTACCACTACACCACGGAGACTGCCGATATCTAGTCGAACCATTTGGGTTTTGTTTTTGCCTTTCTAGCCGTACCTATTTTGTTTCTTCAATCTTCTTTTTTGGTTTGACAGTTTTTCATACGATAAATTGTTATTCTAGAAACCTTCAAATTTTCAATCAACATATAACATATACAGTATAGTATATAGGTTTCATAATTTTAATAAGAATCTTTAGTCCCGTCATCCATTTTCTGACATTAGTATTCAATCTAATAAATTTGAACAGTACTGTATACTATGTTCCTGTGCTGGAGTACAAAATATTTAATTGAGTTATAAGTTGAATCTGCATCAAAATCCATTGACATGACGTGACGCCTGAACGCGTTTCGTAATAACTTATTACATTTTCAAAGACTTGTTTACATACACAACTGTAACCCTGAAAACACGCAAAATACGTTCAATCTTATACTCGCATTTGGGTGAGGTGATATCGTGCAACAGTTTTGGGCGTATAAATCACTATACCTGATCCACCAGGCTATGATTTATACGTCAGGCTGCGAGCAACAGCGTCCAACAGCCTGGTTGATCAGTGCAGCAACCAGGAGGCCTGGTCGACGACCGGGCCGCGGGGACGCTAAGCCCCGGAAGCACCTCAAGGTAACCTCAAGGTAAGGACATGTTCCGCCACTTCCAGGCTCAAGTCAGGGAATCAAGCCTGGCGGGTAGAAATAGCCTAAGCTACTCTATCCCTTTGAGATGTATTTTTTTTCTTGTCTCAATAAACTTACTTGAACTTGAAAGGGAACACTTACACACTCTGTGAAGGAAAAGTCATTTACTCACTCTAAATATGGGCTGCGGGCGTTTAGGGGGAGACGGGCCATGGGGTGGGTGAGGTCCGGGTTGTTCCTCATGGTCCATACAATCTCCTGCATCCAGGTGGTGCCACACTTGGGGTACGTCATCACCACAACATCACTCCCTCGGAACTGCCAGAGAAACACTTCTTTACCGCCCTGACACAAGGTCTGGTCAGCCAGGTCCTGTAACCCCTGCCTTAGTCAAGGTCTGGTCAGGCCAGGTCCTGTAACCCCTGTCTTAGTCAAGGTCTGGTCAGCCAGGTCCTGTAACCCCTGTCTTAGTCAAGGTCTGGTCAGGCCAGGTCCTGTAACCCCTGCCTTAGTCAAGGTCTGGTCAGCCAGGTCCTGTAACCCCTGTCTTAGTCAAGGTCTGGTCAGGCCAGGTCCTGTAACCCCTGTCTTAGTCAAGGTCTGGTCAGGCCAGGTCCTGTAACCCCTGTCTTAGTCAAGGTCTGGCCAGCCAGGTCCTGTAACCCCTGTCTTAGTCAAGGTCTGGTCAGCCAGGTCCTGTAACCCCTGTCTTAGTCAAGGTCTGGTCAGGCCAGGTCCTGTAACCCCTGTCTTAGTCAAGGTCTGGTCAGCCAGGCCCTGTAACCCCTGTCTTAGTCAAGGTCTGGTCAGCCAGGTCCTGTAACCCCTGCCTTAGTCAAGGTCTGGTCTGCCAGGTACAGTAACCCCTGCCTTAGTCAAGGTCTGGTCTGCCAGGTACAGTAACCCCTGCCTTAGTCAAGGTCTGGTCTGCCAGGTCCTGTAACCCCTGCCTTAGTCAAGGTCTGGTCTGCCAGGTACAGTCACTCCTGCCGGACATAAGATCTGGGTTTAGTCAGCCATCGCTGGGAAATATATAATAGTATTTACCTGAGTTGACGGGGCAGGTGTGAGAGGCGAAGACATCCGTCATGACATCCGTCGCCATACCGTCCACGTCACCCGTCATCTCCCAGGCCTGGAGAGTCTGTAAAGTCTGTGGCCTGGAGAGTCTGTAAAGTCTGTGGCCTGGAGAGTCTGTAAAGTCTGTGGCCTGGAGAGTCTGTAAAGTCTGTGGCCTGGAGAGTCTGTAAAGTCTGTGGCCTGGAGAGTCTAGGGATCCCAACCCCTCTTTGCTATTTCCCGGGCCGGGCAGCCGCTCCCTGGGCCGGGCAGCCGCTCCCTGGGCCGGGCAGCCGCTCCCTGGGCCGGGCAGCCGCTCCCTGGGCCGGGCAGCTGCTCCCTGGGCCGGGCAGCCGCTCCCTGGGCCGGGCAGCCGCTCCCTGGGCCGGGCAGCCGCTCCCTGGGCCGGGCAGCCGCTCCCTGGGCCGGGCAGCCGCTCCCTGGGCCGGGCAGCCGCTCCCTGGGCCGGGCAGCCGCTCCCTGGGCCGGGCAGTCGACCTCAACCAACTCACATTCCTCAGCTCGCCTGAAACGCTGTACTCAACTAGTTGTACTCACCTAGTTGTGCTTGCGGGGGTTGAGCTTTGGCTCTTTGATCCCGCCTCTCAACCGACAATCAACTGGTGTACAGATTCCTGAGCCTACTGGGCTCTATCATATCTACATTTGAAACTGTGCATGGAGTCAGCCTCCACCACATTACTGCTCAAAAACGGTATACTTTCTAAAATCAGATATTATGTTCCCCACTCTGCTCTCCTCTCATCATACTACGCACTAATCTATCCCTGTCTTACATACGGTGTCTGTGTATGAGGTTCAACAACTGCAAATTACCTTAAGCCCATCATCACTCAGTAAAAATGTAGGGGGGACTCGAACCCATACTGCCAGGAGCACTATGCAACTGGTATACAGAACACCTTCACCACTCGACCATCACGACCGTGATGGAGAGAGAGAGAGAGAGAGAGAGAGAGAGAGAGAGAGAGAGAGAGAGAGAGAGAGAGAGAGAGAGAGAGAGAGAGAGAGAGAGAGAGAGAGAGAGAGAGAGAGAGAGAGAGAGAGAGAGAGAGAGAGTGAGAGAGAGAGAGAGAGAGAGAGAGAGAGAGAGAGAGAGAGAGAGAGAGAGAGAGAGAGAGAGAGAGAGAGAGAGAGAGAGAGAGAGAGAGAGAGAGAGAGAGAGAGAGAGAGAGAGAGAGAGAGAGAGAGAGAGAGAGAGAGAGAGAGAGAGAGAGAGAGAGAGAGAGAGAGAGAGAGAGAGAGAGAGAGAGAGAGAGAGAGAGAGAGAGAGAGAGAGAGAGAGAGAGAGAGAGAGAGAGAGAGAGAGAGAGAGAGAGAGTGAGAGAGAGAGAGAGTGAGAGTGAGAGAGAGAGAGAGTGAGAGAGAGAGAGAGTGAGAGAGAGAGAGAGTGAGAGAGAGAGAGAGAACTGTGGCCCGGACGGCAAACCTCAGGTCGCTAACCTCCCTCTCTGGAGGAGCCAATCTGCAAGTCCTTCGCACATACTATGTACAGGCAGTCAGATCAGTGATCGACTATGCCGCACCTGCACTCACAAGTCTATCACACCAACAGTGGAAAAAGCTTGAAGTTGCCCAAAACAATGCTATGAGAGCCGCACTGGGAGCCCCCATGTGGACCAGGCTTGAAACTCTTAGACTGGAGACGGGTTTGTCCTCTCTACAAGAAAGAATATCTCAAAGAACAGCTACGATAATCAGTAAGATAATTGTTTCCTGTGATCCAGTCCCAGTACAGCAGGCCTTGGTGGTTGGACTTGGCCAAAACAACGGAAACTCTTGGGCTGCTAGAGCAGGAAATGTCCTAAACAGACTACAGTTAAAAAGCATGTTCCTTGATAGAGGAGGTGATCATCCACACCCAAACTACACGTGTTCCCCACCGTGGGAGGAGCCTACCTTTAAAATAGTAATGTAAGGTCTTCCGATGAAAAAAAAAGGCTGCCTATGATCCGACAATCCTAAGGCGCATAATACAAGAGCAAATGTATAGCATAGCAGTAGCAGGAGCCACCCATGTCTTCACAGACGGATCGGTGGACACAGAATATGAGAGTGCTGGCGCTGCTCTTTGCACGGCCAGCGTACAGGCATACTGGAGACTGGGAGGACTAGTATCATCAACCCAAACTGAGCTGTTTGCCATACAACAGGCATTCGCTTATGTGATTCACAAAACACTCAAAATGCAATCATACACACAGACTCAAAAGCTGCACTTCAAATACTAGGACAAAAACAGTGGAAAGATAATGTGGAAATAATTACCATCATTTTCTATCTTGGAGCAGTCGCTAAAGGCAAAGGACTCAACATAACCCTAAACTGGATCCCATCCCATGTTGGAATCCCATTAAATGAGAAAGCTGATGAAATTGCTAAATTGGCAACTCGTCATCCAGTGACCATCAAAGAGTTCAACCCAGCCTAGAGAACATAAACACCTTGTTACGGACCCGGATCCAGCGTCCGAGCACGGAGCAGTGACGACCGCGCCATCTGTGGGTCAGCTCCCGAAACCCCCTCCAAATGGACGAAGACACCTGGTGAGGACAAGGTGTACTGGCCACAAGGGCCAGTTTCCAGTCCTGTTCAGCACACAACACCGCCGCTGCTGACCTCTGGTGAGGTGGTGCTCAGACAACAGCGCCATCTATGGAGTGGATATGTCGGGCGTTTGTGTCTGAGCCTGTAAGTGAGGTGCTTTAGTGTCCCTGTTATTGATGACGTGTCTGCTTACAGAGTCGACCTGGGACTGCTGTGATGGAAGTTGAGTCAGTCTACCCAAGGCAGCCGTCTCCATACCTTGTGCTTTGCTGCAGCAGCTGTGAGTCGTCTCCCGGAAGAACACTGTGGTGTTACCCTGCCAGTGAAGTGGCAGTTGAAAGGATCGTCGTACCCGGGACCGACTGCTGGAGACGATTAACCACTGGGGTATTGAGGACAGGAGAGTGATTTGTGGTATCACACGAGGCTCCTGACTAGGGCGCTACCCTAGTATCGCTCGTGGAGTGGCCTGACCAGCGTTGCTGATCCGGAACCTGCCAGCAGACCTGCTGGACTTGTGGTTGACGGCCTCCACGGCGGTGCCCCCAGTGGAACTGTGTTTTGGCTGACCTGTGGCCAGGGTAGACTCAGCTTCTCAAAGGATTCGTTGTGAGGCCACGAAAGCACCGAGGACTTGGCACCGAGAGTTTGGATCCAGAGTCTTCAGGAGAAGAAGATTGTGTATTTCCCCTGTACAGTGTTAATACCCCTCCCCCTGTGCACTCTTTTATATATTATTTATTTGGTGATGGTAACAATTATAATCTTAAGTTCTTAACTTTATTTCCCTTCCCCTTTAAGTTACTTGCGTCACGGATCTCATCCCTTGAAAGCCACTACTGGCTTGGGGCCGGATACAACTTCCTCTAATAACATCAGAGTACGAACTCAGTTGCGACCCGAGAGGGCCGTAACACACCTTCACCAAAAAACTCTCACACCTCAACAAAGCCTACCTGCACCAGAGAATAGCTGAAGGTTCGCCCTCTGCAATATGGTATCTTCAGGCCACCAAATTATCCAAGTCAAATATCCCAAAAGGAATCCACAGGGAAACAGCAGTTAGGTTATATAGACTACGTCTAGGTTACAGATGCAACTGGGAGATGGGTGAACCCAGAGATTGAATATAAGTAGAATATTCTCCAAAGAGAATATAAGCACAGGCTTATATTCTCTTTGGGTGAGGTGGTACAGAAGAAGTGTATGGATGGCATAGCACTGGGGATAATGATAAGGTATTACATGCATCAATATAAGCAGGTTATGTTCTTGTGGCTGCCTGTGTTTCTAAGACAGGGTCATTGGACCCTGTCTCTGTGTTGGCTCGGGGTCTTGAAGTGGGTAGGATGTAACTATGTTAACTGGTTGCAGACGAGGAATCACAATAACGTGGCTGAAATATGCTGACAAAACCACATACTAGAAAGTGAAGGGACGACGACGTTTCGGTCTGTCCTGGACCATTCTTAAGTCACAATCGACTTAAGAATATTCCAGGACGGACCGAAACGTCGTCGTCCCTTCACCTTCTAGTGTGTGTGGTCTGGTCAATGTGTTAACTGGTTGTTGACTGCTGGGCTTGACTTTTTGATGTGTAGCGCCTCGCTGATGTCGAGTCTCCTGCTGTCGTTAAACCTGTTGATTATTTCAGTGTTGCTTGTTAAGATGTCTCTGGTGATGGTCTGGTTGTGTGAGGAGATTATATGTTCCTTGATGGAGCCCTGTTGCTTGTGCATTGTTAATCGTCTAGAGAGAGACATGATTGATTGATTGATGAAGATTAAGCCACCCAAAAGGTGGCACGGGCATGAATAGCCCTTAAGTGGTGGTCCTTTTGAGCCATTACCAGTATCAATAGATGATACTGGAGATCTGTGGAGGTGCGACTGCACCCTGCGTGACGGGAGATGTCTCCCGTGAGAGAGACATTGTGACCTTGCCTATATACTCTCAGACCCCAACATGTCAGTGACCAGCACACCATATACTGGTCACAGTACTATATACTGGACCGCCAGGCTATCTAAGGTTCGAATCCTTTCACGTGGAAGAGTTTTTCGATTAGTAATAGTTTCTTTACATAACAATAAAGATTAATCTACTTCAACAAATTGTAAACAAGAGCAGTTTACCTTGGTGTTGTAGAGTTTGTCGGCATATTTGGTGTAGGACGCGGGGAAGAGCCACCTGCCGGGGGTGAGACGGACCAGACCTACTGGAGAGTAGCCGAGGAAGGCCTTCTGCTGCTGCTCCAGTTCCTCCCCCACCAGGCTGAGGGCAGTGTGGCCGCTGGCTAGTCGCAACCCCTCACTCATACTGGCCAGTTACTTCACCCTGCTCAATGGAAGCATCACCTGTTATATACTATAATGCATAGAAGCACACTCCATTTTTTTGCCCTTCCTGACATATACACTGGCTGCCTGTCCCTCAACAAAATTTATTATTAAATATTAATTATTTTTATTATTATTATTATTTTATATCTATCAGACGAGGGTTAAGGAAATGTAAGTCACTAGTTATAATATATATATTCTATAATTGTATACCCCCAAGAAGGGAGCGATAGTTTAGTTCAGTATTATGTACCCCAAACCCATCCTGTGGGTGGTAGTGGACCCCATACCCATCCTGTGGGCGGTAGTGGACCCCATACCCATCCTGTGAGTGGTAGTGGACCTCATACCCATCCTGTGGGCGGTAGTGGACCCCATACCCATCCTGTGGGTGGTAGTGGACCCCATACCCATCCTGTGGGCGGTAGTGGACCCCATACCCATCCTGTGGGTGGTAGTGGACCCCATACCCATCCTGTGGGGCGGTAGTGGACCCCATACCCATCCTGTGGGGCGGTAGTGGACCCCAAACCCATCCTGTGGGCGGTAGTGGACCCCATACCCATCCTGTGGGTGGTAGTGGACCCCATACCCATCCTGTGGGTGGTAGTGGACCCCATACCCATCCTGTGGGTGGTAGTGGACCCCATACCCATCCTGTGGGTGGTAGTGGACCCCATACCCATCCTGTGGGTGGTAGTAGACTCCCATACCCATCCTGTGGGGCGGTAGTGGACCCCATACCCATCCTGTGGGTGGTAGTGGACCCCATACCCATCCTGTGGGGCGGTAGTGGACCCCATACCCATCCTGTGGGTGGTAGTGGACCTCATACCCATCCTGTGGGCAAGTAGTGCACCCCATACCCATCCTGTGGGTGGTAGTGGACCCCATACCCATCCTGTGGGTGGTAGTGAACCCCATACCCATCCTGTGGGCAAGTAGTGCACCCCATACCCATCCTGTGGGTGGTAGTGGACCCCATACCCATCCTGTGGGGCGGTAGTGGACCCCATACCCATCCTGTGGGCGGTAGTGAACCCCATACCCATCCTGTGGGCAGGTAGTGCACCCCATACCCATCCTGTGGGTGGTAGTGGACCCCATACCCATCCTGTGGGGCGGTAGTGGACCCCATACCCATCCTGTGGGTGGTAGTGGACCTCATACCCATCCTGTGGGGCGGTAGTGGACCCCATACCCATCCTGTGGGTGGTAGTGGACCTCATACCCATCCTGTGGGGAGGTAGTGGACCACATACCCATCCTGTGGGGCGGTAGTGGACCCCATACCCATCCTGAGGGCGGTAGTGGACCTCATACCCATCCTGTGGGGCGGTAGTGGACCCCATACCCATCCTGTGGGCGGTAGTGGACCCCATACCCATCCTGTGGGGCGGTAGTGGACCCCATACCCATCCTGTGGGTGGTAGTGGACCCCCCCATCCTGTGGGTGGTAGTACCCCATACCCATCCTGTGGGGCGGTAGTGGACCCCATACCCATCCTGTGGGTGGTAGTGGACCCCATACCCATCCTGAGGGGCGGTAGTGGACCCCATACCCATCCTGTGGGCGGTAGTGGACCCCCATACCCATCCTGAGGGCGGTAGTGGACCCCATACCCATCCTGTGGGGCGGTAGTGGACCCCATACCCATCCTGTGGGCGGTAGTGGACCCCATACCCATCCTGTGGGTGGTAGTGGACCCCCATACCCATTCCTGTGGGCGGTAGTGGACCCCATACCCATCCTGAGGGTGGTAGTGGACCCCATACCCATCCTGAGGGCGGTAGTGGACCCCATACCCATCCTGTGGGCAGGTAGTGGACCCCATACCCATCCTGTGGGCAGGTAGTGGACCCCATACCCATCCTGTGGGGCGGTAGTGGACCCCCATACCCATCCTATGGGCGGTAGTGGACCCCATACCCATCCTGAGGGGCGGTAGTGGACCCCATACCCATCCTGTGGGGCGGTAGTGGACCCCATACCCATCCTGAGGGCGGTAGTGGACCCCATACCCATCCTGTGGGCGGTAGTGGACCCCATACCCATCCTGAGGGCGGTAGTGGACCCCATACCCATCCTGTGGGGCGGTAGTGGACCCCATACCCATCCTGAGGGCGGTAGTGGACCCCATACCCATCCTGAGGGCGGTAGTGGACCCCATACCCATCCTGTGGGGCGGTAGTGGACCCCATACCCATCCTGAGGGTGGTAGTGGACCCCATACCCATCCTGTGGGGCGGTAGTGGACCCCATACCCATCCTGTGGGGCGGTAGTGGACCCCATACCCATCCTGAGGGCGGTAGTGGACCCCATACCCATCCTGTGGGGCGGTAGTGGACCCCATACCCATCCTGTGGGTGGTAGTGGACCCCATACCCATCCTGTGGGTGGTAGTGGACCCCATACCCATCCTGAGGGCGGTAGTGGACCCCATACCCATCCTGAGGGCAGGTAGTGGACCCCATACCCATCCTGAGGGCGGTAGTGGACCCCATACCCATCCTGAGGGCAGGTAGTGGACCCCATACCCATCCTGAGGGCGGTAGTGGACCCCATACCCATCCTGAGGGCGGTAGTGGACCCCATACCCATCCTGTGGGCGGTAGTGGACCCCATACCCATCCTGTGGGTGGTAGTGGACCCCATACCCATCCTGTGGGTGGTAGTGGACCCCATACCCAACTTGTGGGTGGTAGTGGACCCCCATACCCATCCTGTGGGGCGGTAGTGGACCCCATACCCATCCTGTGGGTGGTAGTGGACCCCATACCCATCCTGTGGGGCGGTAGTGGACCCCATACCCATCCTGTGGGTGGTAGTGGACCTCATACCCATCCTGTGGGCAAGTAGTGCACCCCATACCCATCCTGTGGGTGGTAGTGGACCCCATACCCATCCTGTGGGTGGTAGTGAACCCCATACCCATCCTGTGGGCAAGTAGTGCACCCCATACCCATCCTGTGGGTGGTAGTGGCCTCATACCCATCCTGTGGGGCGGTAGTGGACCCCATACCCATCCTGTGGGCGGTAGTGAACCCCATACCCATCCTGTGGGCAGGTAGTGCACCCCATACCCATCCTGTGGGTGGTAGTGGCCTCATACCCATCCTGTGGGGCGGTAGTGGACCCCATACCCATCCTGTGGGTGGTAGTGGACCCCATACCCATCCTGTGGGGCGGTAGTGGACCCCATACCCATCCTGTGGGTGGTAGTGGACCTCATACCCATCCTGTGGGTGGTAGTGGACCCCATACCCATCCTGTGGGGCGGTAGTGGACCCCATACCCATCCTGAGGGCGGTAGTGGACCCCATACCCATCCTGTGGGGCGGTAGTGGACCCCATACCCATCCTGTGGGTGGTAGTGGACCCCATACCCATCCTGTGGGGCGGTAGTGGACCCCATACCCATCCTGTGGGTGGTAGTGGACCCCATACCCATCCTGTGGGGCGGTAGTGGACCCCATACCCATCCTGTGGGTGGTAGTGGACCCCATACCCATCCTGTGGGGCGGTAGTGGACCCCATACCCATCCTGTGGGCGGTAGTGGACCCCCATACCCATCCTGAGGGCGGTAGTGGACCCCATACCCATCCTGAGGGGCGGTAGTGGACCCCATACCCATCCTGTGGGTGGTAGTGGACCCCATACCCATCCTGTGGGTGGTAGTGGACCCCCATACCCATTCTGTGGGCGGTAGTGGACCTCATACCCATCCTGAGGGTGGTAGTGGACCCCATACCCATCCTGAGGGCGGTAGTGGACCCCATACCCATCCTGTGGGCAGGTAGTGGACCCCATACCCATCCTGTGGGCAGGTAGTGGACCCCATACCCATCCTGTGGGGCGGTAGTGGACCCCATACCCATCCTGTGGGCAGGTAGTGGACCCCATACCCATCCTGTGGGGCGGTAGTGGACCCCATACCCATCCTGTGGGGCGGTAGTGGACCCCATACCCATCCTGAGGGCGGTAGTGGACCCCATACCCATCCTGAGGGGCGGTAGTGGACCCCATACCCATCCTGTGGGTGGTAGTGGACCCCATACCCATCCTGTGGGGCGGTAGTGGACCCCATACCCATCCTGAGGGCGGTAGTGGACCCCATACCCATCCTGAGGGCGATAGTGGACCCCATACCCATCCTGTGGGGCGGTAGTGGACCCCATACCCATCCTGAGGGTGGTAGTGGACCCCATATCCATCCTGTGGGGCGGTAGTGGACCCCATACCCATCCTGTGGGGCGGTAGTGGACCCCATACCCATCCTGAGGGCGGTAGTGGACCCCATACCCATCCTGTGGGGCGGTAGTGGACCCCATACCCATCCTGTGCGTGGTAGTGGACCCCGTACCCATCCTGTGGGCGGTAGTGAACCCCATACCCATCCTGAGGGCGGTAGTGGACCCCATACCCATCCTGAGGGCAGGTAGTGGACCCCATACCCATCCTGAGGGCGGTAGTGGACCCCATACCCATCCTGAGGGCGGTAGTGGACCCCATACCCATCCTGAGGGCAGGTAGTGGACCCCATACCCATCCTGAGGGCAGGTAGTGGACCCCCATACCCATCCTGAGGGCGGAAATGTAGTGTTCGTGTATGACAGGTTAGCAGTAAGTTTTGGTTTTGGGCAAAACTTACCACTGATCAGTCACTGTGAGAGAGGTCCCAGGTTCAGACCTGGAAACTTACCACTGATCAGTCACTCTGAGAGAGGTCCCAGGTTCAGACCTGGAAACTTACCACTGATCAGTCACTGTGAGAGAGGTCCCAGGTTCAGACCTGGAAACTTACCACTGATCAGTCACTCTGAGAGAGGTCCCAGGTTCAGACCTGGAAACTTACCACTGATCAGTCACTGTGAGAGAGGTCCCAGGTTCAGACCTGGAAACTTACCACTGATCAGTCACTCTGAGAGAGGTAGAGGACCTATCAGGACTCACTGCTGACCCCGTCACCTTTTTAGGGATAATTTTTGCCAG